TACTCCATGGTACTCCAAATTTCCAGCGAGGATATTTTCCCATATCCCTTTTGAAGAGTATCTATTAATATGCATTTTACCCATGCCATCTCAGGAAAGTATCGTTAATTTTTAATGCCCATTTTTTTCTATCAGAAAAAAGAACATCAAAAGAAATTGATATTATAAAGTGTATGTGATTGGTAGCGACATGAGATCTCTAGTTAGTGTCTAATTAACATTGTTTCATGCTCGTGTGTCAGGACCGCTTCTAAATACTTCACATACATTAATTGATTTATCTTCACAAATTCTCAGGAGGTAGTTACTTTTATTATCTCTATTTTACAGATGAGAAAACTGCAGTATAGCGAGAATAAAGAACACTTTTCTAGTTTAGAATACCACGATATGTTTGCAAGACTAAAGCATTTTACAGATATTTTGTTATTTATGTTTATTTTAATTATATTTCAAAATATCCTCTCCATTATTTATCCCTTTTCTAAAAACAGCTATAAAATATATTGAGGTATATTTTACATACCATAGTCATTCATATACATGGACCATTCAGTGATTTTTTAATAAATTTATAGAGTCCTGAAACCATTGCCACAATGTAGTTTTAGAACGTTTCCATCAACCGCTAAATTTTCTTTGAGCCAATGTGCATTCAATTGCTACTCTTGCCCCTCCAATCAAAGGCAATCACAGATCTGCTTGTTGTCCCTATAAATGTGCCATTTCTGGACATTCCATATAAGTAACATCATATGTTATGTGGTCTTTTGTGACTGGCTGCTTTCCCTTAGTGTAATGTTGCTGGGGTCCAACCCCAGCAGGTCCAGGGGTCCCCAAAGGTGTGGACGGAGTCGGCGAAGAAGGAAGGACTCAAAGGCGGCATTCAGTTGATCAGCATGGTTGGGTTCTCCCTCCAGGATCTCCAGCCAAGTTCTGTCTAGGTTCTCCATCCAGGTTCGGTCGCCAGGTTCTGTAGCCAGGTTCCAGCCAGGTTCTATCCAGGTTCTCCTGCCATGTTCTGTCTAGGCTCTCCAGCCAAGAGCTATAGCAAGGTTCTGTCCAGGATCTTTTGCCATGTTTTCTTGCTAGGTTCTGTCTCTAGGTTCTTCATCCAGGTTCTCTCACTAGGTTCTGTCCAGGTTCTGTTGTTCTGTTGTCTTGTTACATCTGTATTTATACCAGTTGATTTTAATCCTGTCAATTTCTATTGCAAAGTTTAGGGCGTTTCTTATCTCCGTTCCAGGGAGTAAAGATTATGTAGCTTAAGCGTGATTGTTTGTAGTTAAAGTGATTAACTACCCGCCTGGCACTTAGTTAAGGGGTTTTATTCCCTCCCTAACTTCAGGGAAAAATCCCTACCTGGGGAAACAACCTTTCTCGGAGAGGTGACCTTGGTTAAAACACATAGTGCCAAGAAGGTGAGCAAACATATTAAGAACAGCATGCCATATATGCCAGGTCCCTTGAAACAGCAAGGATGGATCGGCTCCCGGCATAATGTTTTTAAGCCTCATTCATGTTGTAGCACTTATTAGTTTTTCACATCTTTTGCTGAGCTATACAAGGCATGGCAAAAGTAGGTTTACAGTTGTTTGTTTGGAAAAGAATACTATAATAAATAATAATACAAGAATGAACTTTTTTTTTTTTCATGCACTCACAACTGTAAACCTACTTTTGCCCCACTCTGTATTCTATTATATGGTTATGCCTCATTTACTTTATCCCTTCACAATTTGATGGGGACTTTTCTTTCCAGTTTTTGTCCATTTGAATAATGCTGCTAAGAACATTTGTGAACAGCTCTTTGTGTAGACATATGCTTTCATTCTCTTTGGTAGATAACTAAGAGTGAAATTGCTGGGCCACATGGTAAGTTCAGCTTTCACTTTATAGGAAACTGGCAAGCTGTTTTCCACAGTGACTGTACCATTTTGCATTCCCACCAGCAGTGTATGAGTGGCCTGGATTCTCCACACTCTCACCAATACTCTGTATTGCTTGTCTTTTTGACAACAGCTGTCCTCCTGGGTATATAGTGGTATCTCCTAGTGGTTTTAATTTGCTTATTTCTAATGACTGATAATGTGGAATCCCATTTGGTGCAGAGGTTCTTAACCAATTTTAGAAAATGAGTTCCTTTGAAATGCTGATGAAAACTATGAACACCCCACCAAAAATGCATAATCATGTTTGTGTGCCTGTATACACATGTATGTGTATGTGTGTATATACCTACATGTGTATGTAAATACATATGTATGTGTGCATGCATGTACACACATGCAAATATGTCTTGCAACTCATTAGTGAAAAGATACAAAGATATTCTTCCTCTAAAGGTAATAAATCATAGTTGTATGGTTCTTCAATTTATAAAAATTTTTATGGACTCTATCTTTTTATTCTTTGCAACTATTCTATAAAGTAGAAAGCTAATGTTACACCATTTTATAGAGAAAGAAACCGGGTCTTCTGGCTCTGTCTTCCACACTACTTCTCTCACATGTCTGCCTTCTTGGGCCACTGCAAGTTGGGAAACTGCTGACTCTTAGAGTCAACACATGAAGACTGGGTAGTCAACATTTAAATACAGAGTATTTCCTGAAGTCATCATGTTTTCTTATAGAGACAGAAATATGAAATTTTTGTTCAGTTTTAGTAAATATTAGGAAGTTAGCACATCTTATAATAATTGTATATGGCCAGTACTATGACATTAGAAATCAGAAGAATATATTTTCATTAGCTTTAATAAGGAAAAAGACTTTAAGTCATCATGGTTAATTATTTATATAACTTCCCCAAGAGCATCGATGACTATAAGTCATGGTTAATTATTTATATAACTTCCCCAAGAGCATCTTAAACAAATAAAGAAAAATGAGTGAGAGAAGGGAAGCATAAAGAAATCCTGGAGATTACATTTTCTTCTGCTCACTTGCTACAAGCAAATATTCACTGGGTCTGCTTTTGTTTGGGCCCATTATGCAGATAAGATGATATCATATGTTGGTGTCTCAGAGTCAGCCCTCTGAGGTCACTTTGGAGCTACCATGTTCTCCCACATCCTTTGCTGTTAGAACATGCCAAAGAGTATACTCATATGGCATATGACACACACCTGAGGCTCTTTCCCCTCTGCTCAAGTTGCAGCTGTGTGGGGAGAATGCATGATTGGTGAACAAAACTGGATGGAAAATGAGGCTATTTGTCTTAAGTGGTCTCTATCCTGGCCCGGATTCTATTTTCACTAATCTCACCTGCTGCCCCTTTGCCCACGATGACAAGCCTGCTGTGGCCCTGGAAACAGCTGCAATAAAAGCCACAGGCACAGCCAGTGTGGGAGGGGTGGTGCTCCTGCAGCTGTGCTTACTCACCTGACTCTTTCCTTGGGTTTCACCAGCCCAAGCACCTTGAGGCTCCAATTTTGTGGAGACACAGAGTTTGGAAAAGGTTCTCTATTCAGCCTAATCCTGATGCTGCTTTGACTGTGGTTCCATGGTCCCCAATCGAATGTTTTTGAGAGATAAAGAACAACTAGGATCCTTTTTCTATGTTACAACTGTGCCCTTGGGGTTTTCAACTCTTCCCTTAAGCAAAACTCAGTCCTTTGGTCTGGCAATAATTCTTAAATGGGGTCTGTTTGATTCCGCCCCTCTGGCTCTGCCAAAAGTCTCACTTTTGTCAGTACGGGTTACCCAGAACTTCATATTCTCCTTTCCAAGACGCGAAAAGGCTCTAGCTCCATTTTTAAAAAATTCCTGAGCTAAATCAGAGATCCAGCTGCTTCATGTGTGCAGGATTGATTAAAATAGCAGGGATGGTGAAGGGATTTGCTCAGGGAAGTCCAGAAGCTATCCACGGAGAATAAAGGAACTTAGGCTGCTTATGCCAGATGGCCCAGGATAATGTTGACATTGTCTATCATGGAAATACGATTTCTACAGCAGTAATCCCAAAGGTCACACTGCTCAGCAAAGGGAAACAGTAAACAATAGTAATGACAAAGACCCAGCCCAGAGTGAATCCGCTTCTACTTTAAATTATTTCTCATAAAGAAAAATACAGACAAGGACATTTGTGTCTGTCTGCAACTTCGGCTCTCTAGTAAAATAAAATTCCCTACAGATGTTTTTGAGTTAATTTGCTTTGGTCAAAGTTTTGGTTTGAACATGCTAGATTTACTTTTTTTTTTTTGATTGTTACTGTTAGGCCTCATTGTCTAAGAAAAGAGAAAAGGCTGGGAAGCTATACCAACACATTTCATTTTATCTCAAGGCACAGTCATGAAAATCCACAAACTAAGGAGGAGGAAAAAAGGCATCTTTAGCCATGAAAAATAGCTAAATCTCAGAGGGGAAGCCAGAGCCAAGATAAATTTAGAGGACAAGAAAGCATGTCCTAAAGCAACGTACCACAGGAAAGGGTGCATGACATATACAGCTAGAGTGCTATATTTAACGTTGGCAGGTTGCAGCAAAATTGAAGGATGAGTGTCTCTTGGAGCCTTATTAATGATGCCGGGGGCCCTTTATCGCTAGGCAGCAGTTTGGAAGCACCTTCCCCACTGGTGATGGACAACCACCACTCCTTGATAGCTGTGAGAGGATGGCCTCCGTCCATGTCTTGGCTGATAGGATCAGGAGAGCAGCAAAGCCTGCAGAGGCAAGAAGGAGGGAAAGATGCAAGAGTGCTTTCTCCCTGTAGTGACTCTGCTACCTTCGTCCTGTGATTAAATAGAAGTCTTGACTCTGAGCACTGCGAGCCCCTCGCTACATCACTCATGACTATTACATGCATCTATGTAGGCATGTGATGGTTTATATTGGTCTAGAGGCCCAATGCATGAAATTCGTGCAAGGGGCTTGGCCCTTGCAGCTCCGGCTTCGTCCGGAAGGTCGTTGGTCTATCCAGTCTAATTAGCATATTACGCTTTTATTATCGTCTGTTCAGTCTAATTAGCATATTACGCTTTTATTATTATAGATGCTTTCTTTTCTTCCCTCCAGGTAGGCAAGAAAGGATGAAGAATAGAGAACAGAAAGTAAAGCGAGCATGCAAGTCAGATGCATGTTTGTAGGTGGCAGATGTTCCCCGCCAGAGCTTCGTGGATTTAACATCACTCCTTTTGCTTTCATCACGAAATTGAGACGATAGCAATTTCATTGCCCCCCAATCGCAGCGCCTCTCCGGTGTGAATGTACTACTGCTCTTTCCCTGGGTTTCTAACGCTGCCTGGCTACATGGCATCAGCAGAGGTAACTGACTGCAAACTCAGATGTGGTGCTTTTCTTTTCCGTTTGCCTGGAGTGGTGGACCAGTTTTGAGGAGTGATAAATGCGTGCTGGCAGCACCACGTTGTCTCCTGGCTCCGGGGCGACTGGGCTCCAGGAAGCACAGGCATCTCCGAGGCTGAAGGAGCTCGTGGGCACTGACAGGCTTCCTGCTGGAGAGGCAGCCGAGTGGAGGGTTGCTAAGGACGCAGTTCGGGGCTGCCCAGACGCTGCAGCTTTGAAGAGACACTTCCGCCTCAATCACATGTCTCATTTGTCACCATTTTCCTTGGCTCCTAAACTATCCCCTAGAGTACAACTACCACGCGATACTCTCATCACAACAGAAAGACTGTGAAGTAGTAAGTCTGAGTCATACTCATGACCTAGTTCCAAGTTCTAAAAAAGTTACCAGGTGAACTATAACATCAAGACATCCTACATCTTAAGCCCTGCCATTGAATGTTTGTCCCACAAGGTTTCCCTCTGCACTCACTGTGCTGTTGGTTTGTGGATGAATTCCGACGAGCTGGGTTGGAATCCTCACGCACCACTTATTAGGTCACTTGTGTGACCTTGGGTGAGTTACTTAACCTCTCTGTGCCCCACTTTCCTTTACCTGTAAAATTATATATATGTTATTAAGAACACTGTCTTGCCCTTCATATGTTAGCTTTTATTATTATGTAGAAATTTGATGAAAGTGAAGAGTAAGAACCCAGAAAATTAGTTTACCAAGAAGCTTTAATATGGGTGACAGGATAACTCTATTTAAACTAAATTTCTTTATCTGTCTTTTTTGTTTGTTTGCTCCAAAAACAATAGGTTGCATGAACAAGGGGAAGGATTTAATCTCTTGAAATCTGTGTCATCATTTGTAAAATGGGGGTAACAGCACCTTCCTTTGAGGATGAGATGAGTTCATCTACGTAATGTGTTTGACACATAGCTGTTCAATGGAGGTTCTTTCCTATGTCTGGGGTCCACTTTCAGTTTAAGTGCAAATGAAGCATCACTGCATTGCCTTTAGGACTCAGGGCAGCTGTGAGAAAAGCTCCTGCCCTAGGCCACCCCGGCCCTCCTCCCAGTACTACCCCATCTGGATTGAGGGAGCAGACAGAGGGGAGGGAGGCTGGGTGACTTCCCTGTCACATCCTGGAAGGGAGTTGTGATGATCTGAGTGGTTGGCTCTCTTCCTGGATTCTTGTCATTCAGGTGACAGAGCTCACCGAACGCTCTCTCCCCCTTCCTCAGAGATGCAGGACCTGCCTCTGGCTACACACGGATGGAGAGTCTCCCACAGGCCACAGGTAGAGGCTGCCTGCCGCTGAGAGCCAGGCTCTTATCACTGTCTCCGCCTCCTCTATGCTCTCATACTATGAGGGTGCCTTTCAGACCTTTGCCAAACCCCGCCTCTCCTGGATTAACATTCTAAATTTTAAAGATTTCTCTCCTCTCGCCACCCTCCCGCCCTCCCTTCCTCCCACCAATGCTTACTGAGTGTCTGTGCCTCCTGTCAGAAGTGCTGCACCCTAAGGCCCTACACGGCGTTTGCCTTAGACCGAGTTCTGGTCTCACTCCTGACCATTCCTCAGTTCCTTTTCTGGCCATGTTCTTAGACCACAGGAACTCGCCAAACCCAACGTGTCCATTCTTCCTCACGGTCCTTTGGCGGGCTCTTCTGACCCCGGTTCTCCTGAGGGCAGTGTTTTGCTCTCAGTGGATTCAGATGTTTGTCTGTACACGTGATGGCCTACTCGGCACTGCCAAGGAGAGGAAAAGTGGCTGTCTCTAAGCTCTTTGCAGATTCCTCACTTTTTTACTTTTAAAAATTTGGGATGTGTTATAGACTAAAGTTTTTGCCCCTCCCACCCTGCCAGAATCATATATTGAAATCCTAACCGTCACTGCAATGGTGTTGGAAGGCAGGGCCTTTGAGAGATGATTAGGTCCTGAGGGTCCAACCCTCATGAATGGATTAGTGCCCCTTCTCCCATGGGAAGACCCATGGAAAAGACAGCTGTCTATGACTCAGACACCAAACCTGCCAGAGCCTTGATGTTGGACTTCCCAGTCTCCAGAACTGTGAGAAATAAGTGTCTGTTACGTAAACCACCATGTCTATGATATTTTTGTTAAGCAACCCAAATGGACTATGACAGGGTGATTAACCTGAGGAAGAATTTTGTTTTTCCTTTGAAATATCTCACTCCACCTTCTAGTTCATTCCTCCTGACATCACTTTGCTCTGAGGCCTTGGCATCTCATGCCTTTATCGCTCCAGCAGCCTCCTGGCTGAGCTTCTCGCGGCCAGTCGAGTCTAGACAACATAATCGGAACCATCTGATACCGCCCACACAGGGCTGCTCCCACTGCACTGCCCGTGGTGCCACTGCCAACGTGTTGCCTCTCTGCCCCTAATTTATACCTTGTTGCCTGATTTGTGAGAAGAGATCTGGGACTTCTAAATGTTTCCCCTTTGCCAGCACAGAGCACTGGAGAGACACGGCAGGAGGACTGTTCCTCCTGGCTCCTGTGGGGAGCTCAAAGGGACCTGGAGAACTGCATTTTTCCGCATCCTCGGCCCTGAGGTGCCCTCCAGTGCTAAGTGCCAGCAGGATGTGGCTTCCCCAGGGTTTCCCAGCTCTCAGTTTGGGGAGTGGTGCATTGTGGGGAGCCCCAAAGAGTGATGCCTGCACTCTATCTCAGGTTTCTGCTCTGCACACCCTTTCCTCAGTCTGGTGCCACTGGGCATGTAGGATACTGCCCCCATGGCTTAAGAAGCACCCAAAAGTACATGAGGTTCTCATGAGGGAGGCCTCTCCAGTTCCCTGTTCTAACAGCATGCACTGTGGCACCCCAGCGCCCAGCATCCAACGGCCTCTGTGTGCCTGGCCTTGGTTCACCTACATGGTGGACAGTAGTTTTTGTGTCTGTGCCAATGCAGACACTATACTCTCTAGACCTCCCACCTGCAGTAGCACCCGATGCCCTCCGTACTCCTGACTCATTGCACACCTGTGCAGCAGTCTTGGATCACCTGAGGTACAGCAGGTTGTTCCTACTTGTCCAGAGACTGTGGACCAGCTCTGGCCCAGGCAACCCAGCAAAATCCTCCATCATTCAGCGGCTGCAACCAACCTCTCCAATGAGGTCTGAACCTTTACTTTCAAACTTGTGCTTCTATGGTTGCTCTTCCTCTTTGCTTTAAGATACCTTTCAGAGTTCTCTCTTCTTTATTTTTATAATTACTTTTCTATCATTGGTTAATAGTTCTTTATATTAAACTTCTTCTGTTTAAATTAATTTAACTTAAATTAAAATGTCTGCAATTGTGAAAGGCCACGGCCAGCGTGGCTTTCGGGTTCAAAGGCTTGGAGAAAGAGCTGATGCACAAATTGACACATAAGACAAGAAATATTAATTTGGAATTATGGGGGGAAGCCAGGGAAAGCTTAACTGTAGTAGTGAAGTTCCTACAAAGCACGCCTGTGCCATATAATTGAGTGCTGAATTATATAGTGATTCATGTGGGGTTTTTTCCTAATACTTATTGAGATTGAGTTCTTATGCACACTGCACTATGGTGTGCACTTTTAACCATCTCCTGTGGGAGATACTCCATCAAATACTCTCTTTATGGGTCTAGGTGCTCCCCCAAGAGTCACCATATAATAAAAACTGTTCTTATTTTTCTTTGGAACCAAATGAGATTAGCAAAGTGGAACCATAGTCTCTTGCTCTTAAGTAAGAGATTATGAGGTCAGGGCATACCCTTTTTAGAAGATAAAGGACAGGTACAAATGAGGGAGAGGACATATAATATGTGTCATGTTCCTGTGAGAAATTTCTCTGTGCATCTGAAAAGCATAGCTGCCCGCTGGTTTAGTATTTGTAGTAAATGATAAAGGGAAGCCTTTCTTCTGAACCTGCCTCCGGTGAGATAACCCATCCTGTGATCCACAGTGAAACCCCAGGGCGGTGATAGAAAGGGTCAGAAAACCTAACCCTCTTTTAGTAGTTGCTGCGTCATGTCCATAGAGTTTACTGGAAGTTTCTAGCAAACCCTCTCTGGCTAACCTCAAGAAAACGGAATGACTCAGACCTTTGAAAAAAGGAAGAGAAATTTCATCAGCATACAGGTAAATGTAGTGTAGGTGATTTCTGAATGCCGTTTAGCCTTAGTCTTGAGTGAAGATTAAAACGGCAGCAGATTCGTCCTGTTTCTACATGTCCAGAAAGATGTCTTAATACTCCTTGTTGATTTGGGCATGGTTATAAAATGATCTCACCATGAGGGTTACATTATTTGCATTCTACAAACAAGGAAGTGGGGAGGGGGGGCCCATAAGGTTAGGTAATTTGACCAAGGAAACACAGCTAATAGGTGGTAAAGCCAGGATGTGAACCAAGGTTCACCTAACCACAACACGAGACTGTCTCTATGAAATCAGATTTATTTCATAAAGGCATATCATGTTTACCTTCACCTTGGGGGATCAGGGCTGTTATTAGCTCCATCCTATAGTTTTCTAAGGCTTAGAAAACTCCATTGAATTGCCCAGGTTGCTGATTCGCAGGGTTGAAGCCTGGGTCCCAGTCTATGAAATCCAGAAAAGGTGCTCTCAGTCTATTGTTAGATGGACTATTTTGCATAGGTACAATGGACCAGGGTACAGACAAGCTCCATCTGAGGAGACATTGCGTTTTTCCCAGATAGTAGCTAAGACAGTGCTGGATCCAGAGGAAATACTCAGGTGGGTGGACAACTGTTAAGGAGCCCAGAATCCTGGAACCCGTCCTGGAATCCAGCATCAGTTTCTAGTGTTTTATTGTATTTCTTCAGAGCAATGACATGACCTCTCCAGAGATAAGTCTCCCTAGTTGTGTTCATAAAAATTTTCCTGTCCCTGGGCTTGTGTGAAGGCTACTTGTCTGGTGACTTTGGGCCTCTTTTGATCTTCAAGGTCCCACCAAGATAAAAGACTGGCTCTGGAGGACATGCTACGCAGGACAGATGACAATGATGACAATGGCCAGAGCCAAAGGGAAGCCTGCCATCGGATTGCATAAGGATGGTGCTGGGTGCCCTGAACGCTGGTGCGCTGGCCCTGCTCTGATGCTCAGGGGGTACCTTACTCACTAGCTGTTCAGAGAATGACCTTGCAGAATGCTTCTACCACTGTTGGCCTTTCATTCAGAGACCTCATTGATCTCTAATCCTTCCCCCATGGTGAGGACAAAGAAAAATAACATCATGGAAGATGTATCCTAATCACTGATTAGATGAAAGCTTTGGGATGATGTGTAGGTTTGATTTGTTACTCTGTTCCTCATTAGCACAGAAACAAAAGAATTAACTGGGTATTAATTTTCCCTTCAGAGGAAAAACACTTAGAACCTCAATGCTAAACGGTATTTTCCTATGAAATGTTTTAACTCTATGTGCTCTACTTTTATTCTACTCATACTGATAAAAAAATGTTCCAACTTTATAGCCTAGAGATACTATTCTTTGGGATTGGAGACTGTGATTTATTGGGAATATTATTGAATATAACAACAATAAGAATGACTACCTTTAATTTTCTTCCTGTTTGTTTCCAAGGTTGCTTAGATGCTTTATATATTTTAGTTTAATTCCAACAATATGCCTTTAGGAACTGTGTAGGTCCTTTTATGACAATTTGAATTATGCAAATTTGCAATCGTATTATGCAAACATTAGGCAAAAAATCAGATATACTCCCAAATTAAATAAAAAATAAACAAGAATTCCAAAACATATGGGCCAAAAGAATTCTTTTCACTCTATTACCACAAGGCAGTACTTCTTCACCTGGTAACTAGAAGTACCTGCCGTTCTCTGTCAAGACTCTTCTTGGATTCCATCAGTTCTTGAGAAAACATTCTTTGCATAAAATGCAATTCTCTCATATTGTAATCCCAGAGGGCACAGGGCAGTGTGGTGCATTCCTCACACATAGTGAGCAATCCGTAAACAACCATTTGATGGGTTTGAACAGGCTGAAAGGGGAGTGTGGTCAGAAACAAGCTGGTTAGGCCTTCACCTTTGGAAATGTGAGCCTGACCACTGTCCTTTTATCCCTTCCCAGCTCAAGGACAAGGTCTGCATTTCCAGCTAAGTTTGCAAGATAACTAGTGATGTCCGGCTGAGTACCAAGTGGCTTTAATTTCATCCCCTCAATCTTGCTCTTTGATTCCTCCCTTCGTTTTATCCCTCTTTCTCTCCTATTGCCTTCAGCAAAATAGCGCATGTGTGAAGGCTTTGCGTACATAACCTTTATTTTCAAATAATTGTAGATTCACAGGGAGTTGAAAAAAAAAACACGAAACAAAACAGACAGGTCCTATGTACCCTTCACTCAGTTCTCCCCGTGGCAACCTCTTACAGAACGAGGGTAGCATGTTTGTTTTTGATGGACAGTAGCTCACTGAGTTTAAATTCTAGGGGGGAAAAAATCCATGTTGAGATGCAGTTACCTTCTCATCAGGCCTCAAACCAAGAGGGGCTTCACGTGCGCCAAAGCCCCATATGCAGAAGGATGAAATTCGCATCGTGAAATTCTTAATGATTGTACCTTTGAGTTGTGTGTTGTATGTGAAATAGGAGAACAATGGAGCATGTGCCGGGGTGGGGAGCCTTGGATTGTGTGTGGTTCCACTTCTGTCTCTGTTCTGCGGTCAAGGTGCGGGCGTCCCACTCAGTGACCACTGTTTCCTTCCCCTGCTGCAGGGTGCTGGGTGTGGGTTCCAGAGGGTGCAGGGGATGGCGGGGGGGGGGGGCACTTAGTGCCTGTGACCAGCTGCACTTGCCCCCATGAACATCCTGAGGGAGTTATTGTGTATTAAGTAACAGACACAAAACACCATGACTAGCTGTGACAGAGATGGCTGGAGAAAGGAAAAAGCTTTTGCACTGCATTTTGAACAAAGGGCCGGCATTTTCATTTTGCGCTGGGCCCCACAAATTATATTGCCAGCACACTTAAAACTGTTTTATAGCCCAGCCTCTTATGAGAAACCTAGGCATGAAGATGAATATTTACCAGGAAACAGAAAGCTTCGACAAGCACAGAGGGATATTTGTTTGTCAAAGGCAAAGCTAGTTCCCACGAAGGCCAGAGAAATCTTCCTAAAGCACATTCTTATCAAGCCAGAGACTGCGCTCCTGCCCACAAAGACGGCGTGGCCCTGGGGGCTCCGTAAATAGTCTAGCCTCACCCTGCCTGCAGGCTTCACTGTACCTTGATTCAAATCCATGCTTGCTGCCAAGGGAATGCAGTTCATGCTTTCCCAGATCTGTGCCTTTGCTGATGCCATTGTGTTTGTAAAACGCCAATTTAACTTCTCTCCTAAAGCCCCCGCCTGTGCCCACCTCCTGGCCTTGGCACCTGTTTCCTCCCTTTCCTAGGCCTGTGCAGCTGGGACCCTCTCTTCTTTCAGGAAGAAGCTCACCCTCCAGGTAGGTCCACCCGAATACCTGCTCTAAGCTGACCTCCATCCCACCCTATCCCATTCCTCTTCTAGTAATTGTATTGGTCACTTTTTAAATTAACTTTGTATATTTAACTTTTTTTATTGGCTTAATGATCATCTCTCCCCATGAAGGGAAAGACCTCTTTTGCCTTCTTCACTTCCGTATCCCCCTGCCTTAAACCATGCTCAGCATCTATCTGTTGAAAAAAGGAAGGGCCCTTTCTCTCCCTCAAACACTGGAGTATATTGTATGTCATATACTGTTTACACGTTTTCTCTCGTCTATGCTACTAGCTTCTTGAAGGTGGGGAATGATTCATTCTTATCCTTCACAATGCCTGGGAGAGACCTCAGTTTCAATAAGTCTTCATTGAATGCAGATATAAAAATAAATGGTGCAGAGGCAGAGAGCATTTCTTTTCTCTTTCAGAACAACTGGACACAGCATTAAGCCTGAGAGAGATCAAAACTAATTGCCGGAACGAGAATCACAGGCATTCACTGCGTCTGTACCAAGGACGGACTTGGAAAAGGGTGTAATCAACTAGCAGCACACGGTATCCAGTGTGACCTCTGTGCTCTTCACAGTGCCGTTCTCTTCGGGGAACTGGCTGCCTTTGTGGCCTGTGGGATGAAAAGCTTCCCAAAATAGAGGCCAGGAATGAGGTCTGGTTCTGATGGGAGGGACCAGAGCTGGAGGGCACCTTCCTATGAGCACGGGGCATCTGTGTTATTCTTTCAGCAAAGCATTTTGATTTTCCTCATCAATAAAAAGCACTTTGATTTTCCTTATCAATAAAAATGGAGGTGCCCATAAAACATTTTGGGTATCTGGGGGATGTGAAAAGGTCAAGTGAGGTATTAATCCAGAGAGTGAGAGGTTTGGGGCAGAAATGGGACCATTAAGTCAAAATGGTGTGCATTAAAAAATGGTAGAGTGATCTGTTCTGGTTGTCCTGGGTAAGAACACTAGGCCTGTGACCAGCTCAGCTGGGTTGAGATGAGGCTGCATAAACTCTAGGATAAGAGACTGGAGCTGTATTCCATTGTGTAGATGTACCACAGTTTTCTAACCCACTCATCTGCTGATGGGCACTTAGGCTGATTCCAAAGCTTAGCTATTGTAAATTGTGCTGCTATGAACATAGGGGTGCATATATCCTTTCTGATTGGTGTTTCTGGTTTCTTGGGATATATTCCTAGAAGTGGGATCACTGGGTCAAATGGGAGTTCCATTTTTAACTTTTTGAGGAAACTCCATACTGTCTTCCATAGTGGCTGCACCAGTCTGCATTCCCACCAGCAGTGCATGAG